GCGTTGTTTGTTATTGTTGTGGTGATGTCCTAAATTGTTGCAAACATTTCCTTGCATAATTTGCTGAATTAACGCGCGACCAACGCCCGCCAAACGGCTGGCTGTCCAGTCAATATACAATATATATTCGTATGTATGCTCATATACATCTACATAGGTACATACTCGTTCAAACTGCCTTGCGGCCAATATTGCTAAAGCCAATTCCCCCCCTCTAACACTCCACCTAGCATTAGTGTGCCTTCACCACAGATAATTTTCAACATCTGAATATTCATGCCACAGGCATTTACATATATAATTTCTACTTCTACTAATTTTTTTTTATACAAACAACTCTTTAAATTAAAAGGTAGCATAAAATATTCAGTAGATGCTTGTTCTTCTAGCCATTTTTACATACATGCATATAAACGTTTGCTCTAATTATCGAACGATTTTAAAATTATAATAAAATTATTTTTAATGTTGTGTGGCGCGTTTAGCAAACATACATACATACATACATACGAACATAGCTATGTTCATTATCATAGCAGCGGCAATTGAAATTAGCGTTGATTTAAAATTTAATCACGTCTCATGATGAGCTTGGGTCGATTGGCTTGGGTCGATTGGCTTGGGTCGTTCATGCTGCGTTGAGGCAAAGAGGAGCAAGGAAGCTAGCTTAGGGATAGGAGTGGCAGGGCTTATGAATGCAAGTTGTGGTTAAATTGTGGTCTGGTCTGGCCTGCTTAGAACATTACGCTAATTATGGGTTTCAACACGTTTTTAGTGCGAAATTATTCTGTACAGAATCTGTGGATGAGTCATTAAAGGGCAACATCGATTGTTGGAATGTGCTGAAATGTGGTGAAAATGAATTTGTTTTTTATTTTCAATCTTTAAAAAGGTTTTCAGTTTTCTAGACAATAAAAATGCAATAGATGATGCTCGTACATAATATAATCTGTTTTTGTTTAATTATTCTACATATTTTTTTGGATTTATACTATAAATGAGATTTGAGGGGCTCAACCAGTGTGAATCTTTTAAAAACAATCAATTTTTTGATATTCCTCGAAAAAACACATTTTTACTCCAGATTTGTAACTATAATAGTTTCGGGCCAACCCTGAAACGGTTGAGATTAGTCATGTAAGTTTAACTGTAAGTTTTTTCTCAAACGCGTTTTTTTTCTTTTTATTTTATTTTACAACATCGATTTCGAGTTCGCTGTTGTAACTATTGATCCGATCAACTTGAAACTTTTTTTTATCGAATTCAGCATTATTTCAGGATTAAAATTGTAAATTCAACATAGAAAATCCTGTTAGATGCCGTAATTTTTTGAATAGCATTTTTTTTATTTCAACTGTGGGACGTTTTATAGTTCATATAACCCCTCATACAATACCTTATTTATAGACAACTATGATTGAACCTCTTAAAAAAGTATTCCTGCTCACAAATATTTGAAATGGGTTATTCATTTGGAACATTAGAAATCCGCACTTCCTATGTGATCTCGACCTGGGTACGCTCATCGCAAGAAAAGTGCCCATGTAAAAAAAACTCTTAACAACTTAGTGAACTGAGCTAGGACCAAAAAGGTTCACATAATTCGACCATATTATCGAAAATTGTGATGTATGGCTGAAAGGCATCAAGCCAATATGGAGGGGAGCGCATTATGGTTAGCGCCTGCTTTACTTGGCAAAGCGTAGGACCGCTTTATTGGTGTGAAGTAACCATAACTGGTGCATAAAATGTTGAAAAGCTTTGATGGCTTCAAGCTTTCACATGCCATGAAGGTAATACGCCTTGGTTGGATGTGCCAGCAAGAGAATATCAAGCACAAGGGCGAAATTGCTAAGAGTAATTTGTAGAATGAAAGGTCAATGTGACACGGAATTGCTGTCATTGTGTACTAATATCGAGAGGCTGTAAAGCGTGCATGGGAGTTCGTTTGAGAGATGACAAAACTGCTTGGCTCGAGGCCACGTTGAAGTTCTGCGATATTTTTTTTTTTTTTATTTTGTTATTTGGGGAAATTCTAAATTTGTTTAAGGTAAATATGTTCAAAGGGGCCGTAGCTGTAATTTACAATACTTCCCCTTTGTCAAGTATATTTTATGATTTTAATTTATTTAGAGAAATCAATTTTAAATTGTCAGCACGTCTATTAAGCAGAGGATCCCCGCGTCATTTTTTTAATTTATTTGAAGCTTGACCCCCAAAATTTTATTGCCTTTTGATAGGCACCGCCCATGCCTTACAATTTTTTGCAGTTTTTCATAATTATAAAGATATAGGCAAATATAAAAAAAGTTATAAAATTATATTTTTTGTTTGGAAATTAATTCATTTAACAATTTTCACCCGAGACTTTCTAAGTTTTGCTTTATTTTGATACGAAAATCTTAATATTTATTAAAAAATAAAATTAAAGAAATTCTTAACTTTCGGAAATTAAAAATAATATAAAACAATAAAATGCACGTTAAATGTAAATATATAAAAAAAAATAAAATAAAATAATAATCAAATAAAATGAAATGATTTTAAATATTAATAAAATACAAATATTGCATTAGAAGTAAAACTCCACGATCATTTGAAGCTTGAACACCGATTTTCTTCAAATTCTGACGTGCCCCAGCAAAAGGCCGAGACACGTAAATTTTTATTCTCAGCCTATTTTCATATTTTGTTAACATTTCTCATGTCTGCCAACCACTGCCGTACTGTGTATTGGAGCATTAAAAAATTTATACAAAAATGTTTCGTCAGGCAAAACTATACTAAAACCAATACTAAATTAATTTGTATTAAGAATAAATTGTGCCAAATTAGCATGAAACCTACTTTTTTGACTAAAAAAAAAAATAAACGATTTCAAAGCTTTGTCAGGATTTTTGCAGAATATAAAATTTCCTGAAGTTTCAAGAGAAATTTCACAATATCAAACCATACTACGCCTTTATGTTAAAGCAGTTATCAATATTAAATTTATTTCGTTTTCACCCGAAACGAAAAGCTGTCGTTAATGTTACAGCCTTAACAGATAATGTAAAATCTTTAACAGATAATGTTAAGCGTTGACATTGAAGTGTGCTGTTAAGTACGCAGCCATGTTAAAATTAACGTTAAGGATGAGTTTGTGCGTTTTCGATATGAAAATCCAGGTTCCTCGAAAAAAAAATGTTTTTTTCCACCAAACAAAAACTAATAAATCAAAGTTCTTGTATATAAAAATATTAATTGAAAATCTGAAAGTAAAAAAACAACACGGTTTCTTATCCTGTATCACATTGGCTATGGCCGGAAATACAATTTTACATTTTCACCAAAAAAAAAAATTGCGAACTTTTTAATTTCATTACCCGCTTTTAAATACTAATTGTTTATAAATTTTTTAAACAACAATGAATATTTTCGGCTGTGGTACCGACCATAGAGAGGTATTTAGGAGTAAAATGCCGTTTAGTTCATGTTGATAAGTTCAATAGGTTCTTAATAAGAGTATCGCCTAGCTGAAAACACGTGGTTTGGAGAAAAAGGCGATTAAAATGTTTGATCGGCCGGATTTACTACTTGGCGCGCCCCGCTCTCTCTTATCGATACTTACTTCTTGGTCTTGCGGACCTTCGGGACAAATTCTATATTATTTTTAAGAGTATTTTCTAGCAATTTACTGGAAAAAATTTAATTTTTGAAATTTGTTAGAGGACCTTATCCTTAAGTTAAGCTAAAATTTCAACTTTAATTATTTGAATTAAATCGAAATCGTTGAAGAAATCACAGCCTTTCAAGAATTGAGCTTGTACTGACTGCCCGACCAATTTCCGTTTTCATACACCAATTTATGTATGTATATTCCGGAAATTCGATCGAAATATAATAGATAATAATTGTTGCAATATAACCATAAAATGGTTTCATACCCATGTCTTGCAAGAAACGGTGTTCCCAATATTCCGTCCTCCTCCTGGACGTTTGGCAGTACTTTTGAAGTGATTTCATTACTCAATAAAAATGTAAGAAATACAAATATATACATATATTCAAAGCAAAATTAATTAATTATTGTTCACGTCCTCGTTAATAATTTTGAAAAAATTAAAATATTCAAAAAAATTTTTTGCATAAAAATTCTGGAAATATTAACGCATTTAAAAACCAAGTTTATAATGTGAAAAAAAAAAAATAATTAAATAGTACAAGTTATTCTATGCATTTCCTAAATTTCGTCAAATGTCCCTGCATATGTATATATGTATATTCGAATTTATTCTTAGAAATCCTTTTGTCTGAAATATATGTAAAATCAAGAAGAGGTCAAATTGTTAAAAAAAAAATATATTTAATTATGTAATGTAGTTAATCAGAAAAAATCAAATTAGTATAATTTTTTCATAAAAATAAATACGAGTAAGATGAAATTATTTTAATGTGCGTCAACCTATTTATTTAATTATGATATTATTATTAATTATAAAATAAAATTTTTAAAAGTAACAGCATTTTTTTGTCGAAATTAAAATAGGACTCATTGCGAAAACAAAAAAAAAATATGATGTAAGCCAATTGAGCTCTTTTATATTACGCTTTTAACTAAATATAATATATAGAGCCATTTACTGCTAAGTCGAGGTATTTCACATTAGACCTTTGTGTCATTCATATAATGTTATTTTTTTTATTAATAAATATTTTCTTTAATATTTTTACACCATTTTTTAAAGTGAATATTAGTTGGAATATTAGGAATATTTATGGAAAGTTTACATGGCTTCTAGTTAAATTGGTTTTTTCTAAATTATTTTTTAATTTTTAGTAAAAAATAATATATTTTTTATTTTTAGACTATAAAATTAATAACCCAAATCAGATTCGAGCTTTTTAAGTCTCTAACTCTTCTTCATCAAATTTTTGTTTCAATCATTTTTGATTTAAAAACGAAACTTCATAAATTTTACCTATAAACATAAATTCAATTAAAATTTTTCTTTGCTCACCTGATTTGCCGACGGATAATTATAACCGAACTGCGTGTAGGCTGCCATTTTGTTTACAGAAATGTTACGTTTATTATTAACACACTGTTATGTTAACATCAACTGTTAAACTGTTTTACTGCCAGCAATGCAGTGACAATTGTTTGCGTTAACAGTGAACACAAAACGAATACGCGAAATATTAACAAAAGTGAGTCACACAATAGTCACAGGACATACACGGTCACACACACATACGCGCGGTTATACGCTATCGAAGCGAAAAAACAAGCACAATCCCAAGCGACAGGATGCGCTGCGGCAAGGATACTCATATGTAGGTGTGTATATGCATATGTATGTGTATGTATGGGAAGCTGTTGGCTGAAAGTCAAACAAACGGCCACCCACACACTCGGTCGCCTGCTTGCCCTCTAGTGAGTCGAGGGGACACAACAACGATTGTGCTGTTGACTTTGCTGCTCTGCTGCTGTGTGAAAACAATTTTTTTTTATTTTCTTTTGTGTGTGGCGCAGGATTCTGCTGCCGCTGCTTTCAACTCGTGCGGTTATACAATGTCCGCGTGCACAAATACATACGCATACTAAGCCTTGTGGTTGGTTGTAGTTGTTATGCTTATTGTTGGTGCCTTAAAAGGCTAGTCAATATTAATACTACAGTTATTGCTATTGTTGTTGCTGTTGTTGTTGGAAATTGGTAAAACAAATTGTCAAGCATTTGTGTTAATGTCAGCGGGAAATGTTCCGAACTCCACTCTTTGGCGACTTTTTCGTTGTGATTTTTATTTATTTACATATATACGAGTATCTATCTACTTCTTGCTTTTTAGCAAATAAATGCATACATACATAGTCTATGTATATTTTGTGTTTGTTTTCTTCCTTACTTGTTTCCTTTTCCGCTGTAAACGCTTTTTTCCGCCAAGTTTGGTGCTTTTCAATAATTTTTTTTTTTTCCTTTTTTTTTGGTTCTTGGTTTTTATTTAATTTTCGGTTCACACGCTTTGTGGGCGTTGTAGGTGTGTTTGTGTGTCGCTGCGTGGCGGCGTTTGTTTTGGGTGTAGTGGTGATTTTAAGGGATTTGTTCGCAGTGCGCCTTCGCTTTTATCGTTATTGCTTGCTGTTTATATTTTTCTTATTTTTGTATGGTTGTAGCTGCTGTTGCTGTTGCTGCTGCTGCCATACAGCATACACTTTCCGTTGTTGGTTTTTGTTGTTGTATATCCTTTTTGACGGTTTTATGATTATTTGCTTGCTGATTTGTTTTGCTTTTGACTTTATTTACTTAGCGTTTGTTCGTTAGTTCATATGTTGTTGTTGTTGCTCTCTCGCGTACATTGCCCGTTGTTGTCATTGCTTGTTTAAGCTGTCGCATAAATGTAAAACATGAAGTAATAAACGTTTTATTCGCTTAACAAATGCTTAACGGCAATTTGTGTGAAATATTTGCATATATTTTATATACATATATATGGACAAGAGTATGTGCATGAATTTATATATCCATTTGTATATACATATGACTACGCTTAAGTAAATATGCATAAATATGACATATGTACAATTGGCAGTTATTTTTTGCTTTTTATTCTTTGTTTAATTTTTTTATTTATTTATTTCATATTTTTGTTGTTTTGCTTTTGCGGTTTTACTCTGTGGTCTATTTATTTGTGCTGGCATAATATTACAATTTAATTAACTTAGCAGCGCTTGAATTTGATATTAACGTTCCCAACCGCTGTTATGTAGTTAGGTATGTATGTATGTTTTAATTAGGTAAGTATGTAGGTATGCGTATGCGAAAAAATTTATATTTAATTGCAATTAAGTTTTTAGTGTGCTTTGGCTTTTATTAATAAATAAACATAAATATTTTTGAACATTTTTAAAATATTATTTTAATTTATTTTGCTTAAAATTTGTTTATTTTTTCGGCTCCGATTCAAATTATTATTTTTTATTGTTATTAATTTTTTTTTTGAGAATGTTTCAATCACAAAACCAAACTTTAATTTATTCACGCATAATGTTCTTCGCTGTCGAAATATTCAAACGATGTTTAAATGTGGTTCAGTTTATTATCTTCACCACCCGCGTTTCACCATAATGACAATATGAGTTTTCAGAACAAGGTGAATAAGAATAGTTTTGTTGTTTTTCACTTAAAAGTAAGTTCTGCGTTTTTAGTAAAATTTAAACTATTGTTTTATACTTTCTTGATTTTTATTGTTCTTGTCTTCTGCGCTGCTAATGCATTTTCATATATTTTGCACAAATATTTTAAGTAATTATTCGTTTCAATAATAATTGTTTAATTATTTAGTTCTTCTTTTATTTTCATATTCTTGTTTTAAATCTATTTTCTATTCATTTCTATTTTTTGCGCAATAAATCACATAAAACAACCAGTTTTCTGCTTGATGGGCAGTTGATTTTCAAGTTCTCTGTTGTGTGTTTTTTTATTATTTTTTATTTATTTTTTCGCTTTTTTCACAAAATACTTTTATTGCTTAACACTTTGGAAAAGAGTTTTACATACAGTTTATTGTCTCAATTTTTCATTATTTTTCGTAATTTTTTTTCATTATTTTTCGAAATTTTCCAATTTATTTCATTTCGAAATTTACGGCATACAAAAAATATTCAATGCAAACAAGCGCCATACATTGATGCACACCAAATCGCGTCCGAACACAAACTAGTTGTACGCAGCCAACGGTTCATACGACATTTTTAACAAGCCAACTGACAAACACACAACTGCAGCCAGGCCCAACAACAATTCCAAGTCTCTTTTATTTATTAATATTTTTTTTTAATTTCATGCAAACTCAATGTGAACACAGAGTGTTAGTTTACTGCTCATAAGAGCAAAAGTGATAGCCACATATGCAGCAAGCATCGTCGCTCACCTTCACACACATTACGATTGAAATATAAATAACAACAAAGCTCTTTACTTGCTCAGCATATCCAAGTGTTGTGTGGGGTGCGCTCCTTAGTTGCTTTGGCCTTTAGTATTTGTAGAGCGCGCAACAGTATCAGCACTCTCTCTGGTAACTCAATAAACACACACGAATGGTAACGCCCACCAGAGCGAGCGAACACAGAGCGATATCGTGTAGGTAGCAAAACAAGCGAGTACAATAACGAGTAGGCGAATGCACTCGTTGAATATATTGCAATTGGGATGCACGCTGTTGTTGTTGTTTTAGGTTTTCACTGGTCAATTGCAAACTTATAGAATGCTTATGGCCGCCTGCAGTGGCTCAGAAAACGACGTTTACCCCTTTCGTCGGCCGCACTGCCTCCACAACTGCATTGGGCATGACAGGGCGACCATTTCGTATAGAGGCATTCGCTGATTTATGCTGCAAGTTGTGGCAGTGTTGCCACTGGAAATTGTGGAGAATTTTAATTTTATGGCAATTGCAGTGACACCCAAGAGCCATCGCAAGTACTTGCTTATATATATATATATATATACATATGTATTTATATGTGCTTGCAGCCGAAAATAAGGGGCACGAAGCCATAAAAGTCTGCAAATCGCACTGAATACGTGGTAAATATTGGTCATAAGGGGTTCGGTTGAGGGGGTTACACATGGTATATACTCTGTATATCATACGTATACATATATATATGTATATACATCTGTATATATATATATATATATATATAAATGTATATATGTGCGTCTTTACTATTCACCTTTGCATGTTTAAATACCTTGATTTTTTGCGTTTCTTTTGCCATTTTGTTTTACCTGTGTTTTGATTATTATTCTATTTATTGTTGTTGTTGTTGTTTATTTATTTTTTACTTGTTTAATGTTGTTAAAGTTTCTCTCATTTCGATTTTATTTTACACTTTTTTTTGCGCATTTTCAAAATATTTTTAATTGTTGCATGTTTACTGTGTTTGCCGACTTTTATTTTTGCTATAAATATACAAACATACATACATACATACATGTGTTTGTATATACGTACTTACTTGACTAGTGAAAATGAAAAAGTGAACATTCGCAGCTAACAAGCTTCATAAAATCAATAAATAAATTGCACAATTTTGATTGATTGTGTTTGTTATTTAATTGTCCACTTTTTTTTTAATTTGCAATTTATGTATTCTTTTTTTTTTTAGCATGTTTTATCTATGCATTTACATACATACACACTTACCTATGTACTCGTATGTATATGAATGTTTTGCCTTTTATGGCCTTCGTAGCTAACAAAAGACGAGTAAGATTTTTTAATTATTTTTATATCTTGCCAATTTTATACATTCAATTAACTATTTTTAAACATATCTACATATGTATATATACCTACATACATACATACATATCACACATGGGATAATGAAATTTTAATAGATCGATTTTTTGATGATTTGAAGTTATTAACGGCATTGAAAGGCAAGGAAGGTTTCAAGCTTTAGTAATAAAAATCAAGCATTTTCTCTCTTTTTCTTTTTTGCTCTTATGTACGCGTATATCTACAGGTTTCATTCTGCAGTGTCATTCGGTTATGCGAGGTACACTTTTCTTTTAATCTGGAGAGCGGCTGTTTAGCTCTACATTCGAAAAGGATGTCATTTTGGAAAACTAGTATTTCCTACAATTTGGATTTGTATAAATAAACCTTGTTTTTTGGCCTATTCTTTGACTAGGGTAAGCTTATAGATACCTGCTCTAACAGATAATGTAGAGTAGGAAAAAATGAGGACGTTATAGGCAAATGATCAATGATATTTAATAATACAACAAGAAGAAATAACTAATTCTTCTTAATTTCAGCCAACCTGCGTTACAGAACGCTGAAAGCCATGATCATCTACGATCGATTGTTTGTTTATAAAGCCCACCTATAAATGCTTCACTTCTCAAGACATTTTTAACTGTATATTGACCGTTTAGTTCACTTTCGGTGACCACATACTCAATTTCAATATCTAAAATTGTTTGAATTTTGAATAGTGAACTATAGCAAGTTCACACTCGATGTGTACATATATAACCAAGAAAGCGTCCTTACCTCCACTCCATATCTTCCCTTTCACGAAAGTTAATCTCAAAAGTAATTAAAGATCAGGTTGAGATCTTTTCACTTGACACACATAGTGGATGTTTGATGACGCAACTAGGCCTTTAGAAAACCAACGGAACTAAAATTCCCTCACACGCATGTTGTAATCATTCTTACAGATGTCGTTCAATGCCAATGGCACGAGGCTGTAATATCCATTTGGGGATCACCATCTTTGAACCGGTATAAATGCTATATCAGCCTTCCTGAGCCCAACAGATAAGTTTGTTTTCTATGAGAGCTTCCTGTATAAAGTTGTTCCCAAGTAGCTTGCTTTCTCTCCTGTTGATAATAAGGTACCATTTATTAATGGTGTTCTGATTCGATGCACCGATTCAAACCATATAATATAGTTTTCTTAAGATTTTAACTCTAACCAAATCAGCTATATCCCCAGTCTTCTAGATCCAAAAACATTTTATTCATGGGCTTCGCTTGACATAATAGCACGTGTTTGAGAAAACACTTGAGAAAAAACTTGAGAAAACAAAGCATATACCTCAGTAATGTCGACTTTGGTCTTTTCCTACATTAAGAATTAAGATATCCTTTGGGAGAGCACAGTACGTCTACACCGAGTAATACAGACAAGACAGATTGTTATAAATTTGCATGGGGAAAAGGAGAGGGAATTTATTTTATTATTTGAAGCAATCAAGAATCGTTATACAAAGATCTAAAAGGGTTGTGCAATTCAAAGTTTGCTCAGCGTTACCCCAATTAAAGGTGCCGAAAGTGTCAAGATAATCTTAAAGGGATGGTAAAGTTAAGCTCGCTAAGTCGGAATGACCTATTGATAACACTTCTTATCAATTATATTAAAAATAAAATTTATGATGAGTTTCATTCCTTGTTTTCAAAGATACTAAAAAATGGTGATTCAAACGTGGTCACATTTCGTGCTTTAAGAGGAAATTATGGTGCAGTTAATCGTCCAACTTCTCAAGCAATTGGTAAAATCTTAAAGAAAGTTGAAGAGACCGGATCGATTACAGATATTATTAGGCCTGTTGGACTTTTTGCATCATCGTTTTGCCAGTACCATCTCCCATATCGCCACTTTAAGTGGAAGTGACCATTCACAACGCCGCACAAATGTATGTCGATTGAACAAGAAGCATTGGACGGCGATTTTTCTAACAAAATTTTCTTTAGTGATGCGGCACCTTTCTTACTATATACGGGATACGTAAACGTAAAAAATGTCGCTTTAGAAGCACCGAAGCTTATCATGCATTTTAAGAGAGGGTTTACTGTTTTTGAAGCACGACAACGAAAGAGACTGTCATTGTGAATTCAGAGCGTTATGGTTGTATGATAAATGATTTTTTTAACTTCAAAACGCGACTTGGCCAATATGTGGTTTCAACAAGATGGTGGCACATGCGACACAATATGAGCGAATATGGCTTTATTGCAAGAGAAAGTTCCCGGCCGCGTAATCTCTCGCCTTGGCG